TTATATATATATATACGTATATATATATATATATTATACACACACGATATTAAACCCTTTTATCATAGATAATCAATACCACACAGTCTTGGCACCTTCGTAATATATTCTTCTGTATAATTTAATGTTTCAGGCATTACCAAATATTCCGCTAATAATGAATGATAGAGAAATGTATCTATTTTCTCTCATTTTTTTTTTTTTTTTTTTTTTTTTTTTTTGCATTTGCCCTCTACTCGCATAAAACATTTGCAGGTAGTCGAGCCGTGGACACTTCTTAGTATCGTCCGCGAGTATTAGAACTTCTTGGTACTGTTTTATGACTTTTTTTATTTACAGGCTGAGCTGTTATTTATCGGTCTATTTTACATTCCACTCTTCGATATCTCTCAGGTTATTTTATCAGGCCAGGACTGGCCATCGTAACAGAGGGTGAAAAGAGATTATTATATTCATGGGGAAGTTCTGATTCCGTCGGGCTCATACACTTCCTGGGAAATGAGAATAAACAGGTTCGATTCAAGAGAAGCAGTTCAAATTCCTTGGACCTTTAGGATCACAGCACTTGTTGTGAAAAGGGAGGGAGGCTGGGTTTAGAGGGAAGTACAATACCCACCTATAGCAGCTAAAGCAGTGGCGCCGGCCACCAGGGGCAGACTGCCGTCTTCAGCATTGCGACTGAGGTAATGATTCCTGGAGTCCAGCTGCAGGTTGTCGGAGAAGTCGCTCATCCTCTCCGACAACTGCAGTCGTTCAGACAGTCTGCGTCCAGCAGTCATCACAGGTTTCAGGACTGGTGATGCCATCTACAAACATACCAAGGAACATACAGTTGTAAACAACACGTAGAGTGGACACACTAACCTATGCACTGGGCACTATATCCCAGCATCAATAACCTCTTACATGTGTGCCACAATGTTTTAATGTTACCAATCTTCACTTGCTACTTCACACTTCCATAAAAACTTTCATAGTGCATTAGGATTTAGCACTTATACGTACTTTATTACTACAGTGACCAGCGAACATGTCCCAGCTCAGAAGTTCCATCAAAATTGATAAGGTAGACAAAAATATCACAAGGGCTACTAATGAGATATACTTTTAAATTTCTATCTCTTTCTCTCTCCAGGAGCTTTCTCAAGACAGTACGAATATTATTTGCTTGATACAGCTCTTGGAGAGGGAAATGTAATGTAATGTCTCATTAGTTTCTGTGTTATTTTAGCTAACATAATGTCAGCAATTCTACCAATATTTATACAACATCGGTAAGGCCACCTCCCAGATATCTTGCTTACAGTCGTTCACATTTAATTTACACACAACGAATGATTCATCACCGTCGAATACTAACCTCGTAGACCCTCTCGCCAATTTTCCTGAAAGGTTCAATAATTTTCTCGAAGATGGGTTTCTTAGTGGAAGGATGACGATAGATATCGTAGGCGTTGTAGGCTGACACCTGGTGAGTGCCGTCAGAGCCAGCCTGGAGTGAGGGAGGGACGCGCACACAGTTTTAATAAAGCCAGGCTGAGTCTTCACGCAGAAATTTTGACAAATTTAATTATTAATTCATGAGGGAAACGCTAACCCCGTATGAATCATAAAATGCCTAGGGGAATGGAAGGCAAATCAGGGATGATTCAGTGTGGGGATTTCGAGTACAATTCCTTACATCAAGAGCCCGTCACCACTCACCAGCATCAAGGAACCTCAACTGAGGGGAGGAAAGATTTCAGAGCTTATGAGAAAGGTACGAGAGGTTTAATTAAGAAAAATTACATTAATAAAGTTCAGATAAGATTTTCTGACAGGAGATTTAATAAAACAAAAACAGCTAAATGTCATTTATTGGTAAATATAAACTTAAAAATAAGTAAGGAGTTTATTGCAGAGATGTGAGTGTGGCAGAGATGTGAGTGTGGCGAAGAGATGTGAGTGTGGCAGAGATGTGAGTGTGGCAGAGATGTGAGTGTGGCAGAGATGTGAGTGTGGCAGAGATGTGAGTGTGGCAGAGATGTGAGTGTGGCAGAGATGTGAGTGTGGCAGAGATGTGAGTGTGGCAGAGATGTGAGTGTGGCAGAGATGTGAGTGTGGCAGAGATGTGAGTGTGGCAGAGGAATGTGAGTGTGGCAGAGATGTGAGTGTGGCAGAGATGTGAGTGTGGCAGAGATGTGAGTGTGGCAGAGATGTGAGTGTGGCAGAGATGTGAGTGTGGCAGAGATGAGTGGAGTGGGGTGGCAGAGATGTGAGTGTGGCAGAGATGTGAAGTGGTGGGCAGAGATGTGAGTGTGGCAGAGATGTGAGTGTGGCAGAGATGTGAGTGTGGCAGAGATGTGAGTGTGGCAGAGATGTGAGTGTGGCAGAGATGTGAGTGTGGCAGAGATGTGAGTGTGGCAGAGATGTGGAGTGTGGCAGAGATGTGAGTGTGGCAAGATGATGTGCAGGATGATGTGGCAGAGATGTGAGTGTGGCAGAGATGTGAGTGTGGCAGAGATGGAGTGTGGCAGAGATGTGAGTGTGGCAGAGATGGAGTGTGGCAGAGATGTGAGTGTGGCAGAGATGTGAGTGTGGCAGAGATGTGTGTGTGGCAGAGATGTGATGTGTGGCAGAGATGTGAGTGTGGCAGAGATGTGAGTGTGGCAGAGATGTGAGTGTGGCAGAGATGTGAGTGTGGCAGAGATGTGTGTGTGGGCAGAGATGTGAGTGTGGCAGAGATGTGAGTGTGGCAGAGATGTGAGTGTGGCAGAGATGTGAGTGTGGCAGAGATGTGAGTGTGGCAGAGATGTGAGTGGGGCAGAGATGTGAGTGGGGCAGAGATGTGAGTGTGGCAGAAATGTGAGTGTGGCAGAAATGTGAGTGTGGCAGAGATGTGTGTGTGGCAGAGATGTGTGTGTGGCAGAGATGTGAGTGTGGCAGAGATGTGAGTGTGGCAGAGATGTGAGTGTGGCAGAGATGTGAGTGTGGCAGAGATGTGAGTGTGGCAGAGATGTGAGTGGGGCAGAGATGTGAGTGTGGCAGAAATGTGAGTGTGGCAGAAATGTGAGTGTGGCAGAGATGTGTGGTGAAGGACAGTGAAGGAGTGTGTGTGGCAGGGATTTGTGGTGAAGGATAGTGAAGGAGATGTGTGTCAGAGATGTGAGCATACTGAATGACATTAATGAAGTTTGCTGCCAGATCATGAGAAATAGCGAAGGAATCCGAGGATGAATATTGAAAAGAAACACTGATTGTTTAATGTAGTATGAAATACCATTGTGAAAATAACCAAATGCTACGTATCAGGAATTTAAAACGGAAGCTACTGAATGATTATCATGCACATAGAAAGCTGTAAACCGGTAAGGGTCATGCAGCATTAAATGTTATCTCAATGTTAGATGTTGTTTGTTAAAGAGAGAGAGAGAGAGAGAGAGAGAGAGAGAGAGTCATCTGTGTGTGTGTCTGATGCTGAGCGCAGGTATTGTTTCTCCATTAGTTTCACTGCCTGACTGACTGCCTGTGTGAGAATATGTATACGTTTATACTTGTCTACCCTGAATATGCTTGTCCAGGCCAGAGTAACGAAGCTTTACCTGGTTGCTGGGTACGGGTATTGGCACAGTGAAGATCGGGGCACCGGGGTGAGCCTGCAATGACAGAACTGGTTAGAGAGGAGGAAGACAGAGACTGAAAATATACAAAGAGGTTAACTCAAAATGTTAAACAGGAGAGGACTGTCATGGAGGTGATAATATGATAGAGCTGGCTAGAGCCGAGGCACAACTAGCAACATTGTGTTGCAATGTCCTGAAGTAAAAAATGTAAATAATAAGTGTATTGTACGGCAACCGACAAAATTAATTGTACAGAAATGCGATATGTTGAATTAATATTAAGACAATAATACCAGACATTAAATATACGATGCGTATTACTATTATTATTTTTATTATTAAGATAAGCACAAAACGCGTTTTAAATATGTGTAAAATGAGTTACAGTTAAATGCAGATTCTATACTTGTAGCTATGAAAATTACTGGTGAAACTCGTCCAGCAACAGTGTCATGTTCTACAGAGTTACAACATGGGCTAGACCAGGGCTACTCAACTACTATTAGCAAAGGTCTACTTGGACAAGTACCATTGTATGCAAAGGTCCGGATACATTTTTTACACGCAATCTTAGCTACATAGTTATGCTAGAATACTGTATTCCATTCAGTGTATGTATTCCATTCAGATAGAATAATGTATTAATCCCGCTCTTGTGTACCACCTGATCCTGAACCTGGTAACACCTGTTATTTAACTAAGCTTTCTTCTGAAGCTCAGGTCCAACTACAACACTCAGAAGGTCCGGATTCGGACCGCGGGCCGCAAATTGTGTAGCCCTGGGCTACACATACATATGCACATGCATATGTAGTGTAATAGTTTCCCATGACTACTGTTTTGCTATGTTAGAGAATGACATAAAACGTATATGCATATGAAACGTACGAGTTTCCCCTGATAATTGCGGTGTCTTTTCTGAGTATAGGATTGTGCAGCAACACATGAAATATTGTGGTCACCCCTGATAATTATTTCATTCACTTAACAGACATACTTTATAGAAAGTGGTGCCTTCCATGACTACTGAAAATGCAGAAATCATGATTTTGGACTCCAGGGCCAAATAAAGTTGAAAGTAGTTCAACACATCAGTTGTTCCTGGTTTGAAGAAATTGTAGTCTGCAGTGTGTATAGCGTTTTTTTTTTTTTTTTACTAATCATGGGAAGCGCTAAACACGTAGGGATTATACAGTGCCCATGGTGGGATGGAAGGTATTCAGACTCAATTTGGGGAACTGGAACACAAATCAAGTTCCCCAGATAAGAGCCCCTCACCAGCGTCCAGGAACCTTCCCTGAGGGGTATAGTGATGGTGCTAGAGGAAACATTGCTAGATATCCTCAGGGACCCTAAAGTGTAGTGGATGTAGTGCAGAAAACAATGCTAGACAAACAGCGGACAAATTAGCAGCATTAAGGAGGCTCAGCACTGACCACTGATAATGATTTGATAATGGTTCAGCACGGACCACAGATAACCTGCTAATGGTCCAGCACAGACCACAGATGAATTAAAGATCAATGATGGACATAAAAGTCATCTAATATTTCCTCTCCAAATATTTTTGGGTTGGTTATAAACTGTTGAAACCACGATACTGCATCTTTTATCCTTACTAAGTTGTCATTCATAAACTTAGCGAAGCTTGGATCTTTACTAACCAGAGTTTGACCTCACCTGGAAGGTCGATTCCTTGATGACGAACTGTCCCGGATTGGCCGATATGATGACCGGAGGCTGGGCGGTACTGGGGGATGAATACATCTCTCTGGGAGTGGTGTCCAGGTTGGAAGCATCGCTGTGGACGGCGAACGACTGAGGGGAAGAAAGTTGGGTGTAGGGAACGCCTATGGAGAGGGACGATGAAAGGCCTGAGGAGGTTTTGATAGGCTGGAAGCTAGAGGGTGCTGCTGCGAGAGTGAGGCTTTGTTTTGGTGGCTCGGCTGCGGACCCAGAGCCGTACACCACGTCCTTGGCTCGGGAAGTGTCCTTTGGCGCGGCCAGGTAGCTGTAGCTCACAACCTGTGTACCAGGAACCAGGTTAATAAGGCACTGCCCACACGGAGAAACAGGTGGTTAATCTGACCTCAACTCTAGACGACACTATCCAGTGTCGTCTGGAGATTATAAATAAATCACAAGTTAAAATGCGAACAGATCAATGTCCTCTGGGAACTTAAATAGATTATTTAAGGGTACATGAAATGTTAAATTGAGTGGAAATACAAGAGTGAGTGTTTCTCTCTCACCTGTTCAGAGGAGGTAGAAACATTATCATCCTCGAAGGAAGCTTCAGCTACCACCCCGACGCGGTCGTGGTCATAGTATCCTTTGTAGTAGAAGTCTGGATACTGCTGCTGGTGGGCTGGGATCGAGCCCAGGCTGGACGAGACAGGTGAGAAGGAAGCTCCGACGACTCTTGGCGAAGGTTTGAAACCTTCCGTCTGCACGAGTTAGTGAAAGTAAGGCATTATATTATTGTAGGGATAACTACTAAAATATTCTTGTTGTTTAATGTATGTTATTACATGGGAAAAGTTTAAAAAGTATTACCATTTAAATTTATTGCAAACATAATAGATGTACTTCTTTTCGAGTTTGAAGAATTAATCTTTCCATTACGGATTATCAAATAAGTTGCAGGTTATTAATCTTGACACCTGCACCAGGCACACGAAGCCACACACACACACACACACACACACACACACACACACACACACACACACACACACACACACACACACACGCGAGAGAGAGATATACACTGAGAGGTGTATATCTCTCAATATAGACAAGCTGAGTTTTAACTTCTGCCTCTGTTTTAGGGATCAAAGTATTCTTGACCGGTGATGTACAGGTGAAATGCAATCTTAATTACTCTCGTGTAGTTGATAGGCTTTAAGTCCAATTAACCAGTCGCCCAATAACCTGGCAAAATAAATATTACGATACCTCGAGGGAATCATCCTAGGCAACAGTAAACGGAAGATGGGCATAAACAAGGGAAATAATAAGAAAGTCCTGAGGATATCCCTCTAGGAACTCGAAATAATGGATTCAAAGTGGATAAGTTTAGATGTAGTGTAATTATGAAAATGGTTTATAATACAGACAAGTAGATGAGCAAGTCGTGTGCAGCACTTAGGGATTTTTATTGTTAAAACGTTTCGCCTACACAGCAGACTTCTTCAGTCAAATATAGAGAAGACTAAACATGGAGACAGCAGTAGTAGTAGTGTCGAGTGGCGAGGTAAATTATTACATTCGTGGGGGAGAGCTAAACCTGTAGGAGTCGTACAGCGTCTGGAGGGGGCATTCATGACTCGTTTGAAGGAATTGGAGCGCAAGTCCAAGTCTTTAGATCAACAACCCCATCACCAACGTGGCGAGGTAATTATGTGGTCAGCCCATCAACCTTGAAGTAGTGATCCTCTTCTCAACTTTGGTGTAAGAAGTGACTGAGATGAACCATCTTAACTAACCCCTAAACCCTTTGCTGGGCAAGACACTGCTCTACATCTCAACTCCTCATTTCCTTTGGCAAGTTGTTGGACTGGTTAATGATGGGTGACGAGCATTGTCCCTATTGGGTAGAGGCTATGTCAAAAATTTTATGAGGCCTTGGAAGGCTCTTAAAAGACCAAGTGTTACATGCCAAGACCCGTGTCTGGAGGCACTTGTCCTGTGTCCTGGGAAAAAAATACATGCGATATAATGCGGTTCTTTATTGACAAAATTTCGACCAGACAGTGAGCGAAACTATCATTATAATCATTATTATAATCATTTGTGTTTCCATGGAACTGGTGTTGTATATCTGTCTCCATAGTGTTTCCTGAGAAACAAAACTCCACCATCACCACCTGGCGACGACTGTCCTCGTTCTCTCACGAAACTATAATTAAAACAAGGCCCGAGTAATAAATCAGTTTTTAAAATGATGGCTGGAGCGTGCGAAAGGCAACGATGGTATTTTGAGCTCACTATTGGCTTGCCGACCTGTGCAATAGCAGAGTTCTCGTACTTTTCTCTACATTATCCTAGGTTAAGGCGAATTAATCAGAAATAACCAGTTCTATTTTTTATTTATTTATTATCACATTAAGGGAAGAGCTAAACCCGTACGATGCTACAGCGCTTGAGACAATATAATACATTCAGGCTTCATCCAAAAGTGGAACGAAATATTCATTTCCTCGCATGGAGTGACCTTCGCCAGGATCAAGGAACCTCTCTTGAGGGGAACAGGTTCTAAGAGAACACATAACAAAGGCCAAAGAACACCTCGACTGCATCTAACATCAGTCGAGTCAACATGGAGACGCTGGGTTGGAGAAAACGTCGAGAAAGCAACGAATTGTCTAGTGTGACTTTTCACGCGCTCTATAGAACACTTATAACCCAAAAATTTTGTAATTAAACACTTGTGTCTATTGGAGAGACTCGCAGCATGTGACTTGCTACAAAATAAACAAGTATTTATTCTTATATTTACTGGCCATCTTCAGAATGATGTCACTAGGCTAGGTTCTATTTCATGGTAATTATAGCCGACCCACCTGCAATAATCATGGCGAATCCACCTTTCAGGAATTATAGCTCATCCACCTTAGTAACTGTGGACTACTGGCTTTCATGGATCAGCATTAGAGGCTGGCTGATACAAAGTGCGAGACTCACCGTAGCACTGCAGAAAGTTACAGTAGTCGCCGTAGTGCTATAGAGAATCATCGTAGTACTGTAGAGAGTCATCGTAGTGCTGTAGAGAGTCATCGTAGTGCTGTCGAGAGTCATCGTAGTACTGTAGAGAGGGTTGCATGGATAGTTCAGCACACTAATTAAAAACTAGAATAAGACCCACCTCGGTGCTGGAGCATGATGTTATGAAGCTTGTACCATGAATACTGGCTAAGAACAAGCGTCTCACCCACCTTGGTGTTGAAGGATGGTTGCTTTGCTTCATTCAGCACTCTTGCACGACGGTGGGAAGCGGCTGGCTCTGAGAGGTCTGTCACAGACTTGCCTTCTACTTGGAAGGTTTTTGGTTCCAGTAGGTCAGTCACTGAGCTTTCTTCTAGTTGAGTGACGGCTGCGTCTGGAAGACCTACCTGAGAGGTACTTGGTTTAGATGGGCTGTTTATAGACCTGCCCTCTACCTGGTTGGCTTTCACCTCCTCTTCAGGGGTCATCAACTTGTTGTTGACGATTCTGTTTGGGATAGGAAGGACAGTGCAGGAAAGAGTGAGTTTAGTGACGAAGAGGCGACGTTGTTCGCAAGCGGGGATACCATGTGTTTGTACGGTCAACAAACTATATTTGTAAGGTCAAAAAACTATGTAAGATCGACAAACTATGTTTGTAAGACCAACAAACTATGTTTGCAAAATAGAGGAAGGAAGCAAGGTTGCAGTGTCACTTAACAATGTGGAGGAAACTGGACAGACAGATGAAGATTATTATCCACCAAAATCTCAAAATTGTGAGAGAAACCTTGTGACGTCATTTGGGTCAGTGCTGGACCATTGTCAAGTCATAACTGGGGCGAGAAAATTAGAGAAGGCCAGAAGACGGTAAGTGATGGGTCTTGGTGAACTGTTCCTGCCACGGTATTGTGACTATTTCTCAAGAGTATTGTCATTGGAAGCGTTAAACCCGTATTAGTCATATAATTATTGATGAAGAGAAGAGTAGCTCCAATTCCTTGGATCAAATGACTTTCACCATTTAACCTGAGTCATATTTTCCTCAAAAAAATTTCTGAGCAATGTTTGTCTACTGCATCAGGTCACTTAATTACAACTTCCATTTAACATTATTCTCAGCACAGTTCATTAAATCCAAACATAAACTCACTAAACCAGAGATTAATAGAGAACACTTAAGATTGTCACAATGATTAGTTTAATTTATAGAAATTCATGTTTAAGAGCAGGTGACCCGACACTCCAAGAATTACACTTATATAACTAAGATTTCCTCTCTCACCTATATCCGCTGATGAGGACCGCAGTTTGAGGTCAAAATAGGCAATAACTTTACTTCTTGTATCTACATGTGGGTTCTTACTTGCCTTCTTTCCTCTCTCTCTCTCTCTCTCTCCTCTCAGATGTATATATAATTATTTAACACACCGGCCGTCTCCTACTGAGGTAGGGCGACCCGAAAAAGAAACACTTAAACCATCATTCACACTATCACTGTCTTGTCACAGGCGCGCAGATACGTCAGTTTAGATGTCCCTCTAAACAGCAAATATCCCAAACCCTTCCTTTTGAGTGCAGGCATTTTACTTTCCAATAAGATAAAAAGGAAAATAAGGTCTAAAATGAAAGGCTTTTTTTCTGCTGATAAAAGTAGAATGAGAATTTGCTTATGCCATAAATCTGCGGAAATCAATCTAAACATAACCAAAATAAATATATATAATTTATTTTATATAATATATAATAAATTTTAACATTGTCCAAATAAAGCCTGGTTCTGCAAATAAAGACACACACAGTTCAAGGTATTTAATGAGAAAATGTTTAGCTATGAATGGCTTCTTCACTCTTAAAAAACCACTGATGGCTAAACTTTTCCTCAGTGACTGGAACTGAGAGTATCTTCACACGCTGTCATCTCCACACCTGCCCTCCTGTCTAAGACTGGCTCTGTCATCTCTTAGTACCAACATACCACGCCTGTCCTCCAGTCTAAGACTGGCTCTGCCCTGTCTTAGTACCAACATACCACAAATATCCCCCAGCCTCAGACTGGCTCTATCCTCTTTAATACCAACATACCCGTCCAGTGCCGCTCCGGCCGCCGCCTACCTGGCATTCCTGTAGATGCGAGTGTCGCTGGGGTCGTCTGGCACTCTCACCCCGTGAATGATTGGGATGCCATCATCACCTATCTCAATGACCCGACCCTCTCTGGCGTTCCCCTTCACCGTCAACACAGCAGAGGTCACCTTTGGGTCCAGTCAGGTCACGCGAGGTCACGATTACGAAGATCCAGTGTCACCGAGGCGTTAAAGATGAGTGATGTGAAATTCAGAGACATTACGAGTCAAGGTCAGTCATGAACGAAGAAGTCAGTTTCAGTTTCACCGCGAGGAATATTGTGGGTAAGAAAAACACAGTAAGAAAGAATATGTTGGAGGGAGAGAGTAATGGAGGGGAGGGAGGGAAGTGGAGGGTAATACATGAATGAGGGAGAGATTGGATGTAAGAGGAGGTTGGAGGAGAGAGGGAATTAGTAACATTAATATTTGTCCATGATAAATAAAAAGGCACTTACACAAATAAATAAAAGAGAAACAAGAAAATTTAGGCTAGTATTCCATTAATGAGTCGAAGGATGATGGATGACTCCCTCACCCGTGTCTACAACACTCAGAAATAAGTTCATATATATATATATATATATATATATATATATATATATATATATATATATATACAGGACAAGCCACATGGGGGTTGAAGTTTTTAGCTCAAGTACTTTCACACTTCTCAGTTCGTCATCAGGAGCTGTGCAATGTTGCAAGGGAGCAACCAAAGCAGGGAGAGAGGACTCAGAGTAGCGTAGGTGTCACTGGCCACGGTTACCCTTAGTCTGGCCGTGGCCAGTGACACCTACGCTACTCTGAGTCCTCTCTCCCTGCTTTGGTTGCTTCCCTTGCAACAATGCACAGCTCCTGATGACGCACTGAGAAGTGTGAAAGTACTTGAGCTAAAGACTTCCACCCCTCGTGGCTTATCCTGCATAGTTAAAATCGCCCGTCTGCGATTGTTTGCACAAACACACATGTATATATTATATAGTTGCCCCCTCTCTGTTATGAAGATATATTTAGAAATATGCTATTTCTCCTGTGTATGGGATAGTCCGTCCTGAGAGATGGGAATCTCAAAGTAACAATTACTGTAGCTTAGCTGCAACAAAGCCTTGGAAGCTGCCGTAGCTGTTGAATATTTAATGGAATACTTGACGATATCCTCATTATTCTATTGTAGTCTCCCAGCTCAGGCTGACACTACTGCAGTCTCCCGGCTCAGGCTGACACTACTGCAGTCTCCCGGCTCAGGCTGACACTACTGCAGTCTCCCGGCTCAGGCTGACACTATACTGCAGTCTCCCGGCTCAGGCTGACACTACTGCAGTCTCCCAGCTCAGGCTGACACTACTGCAGTCTCCCGGCTCAGGCTGACACTACTGCAGTCGCCCGGCTCAGGCTGACACTACTGCAGTCTCCCAGCTCAGGCTGACACTACTGCAGTCTCCCGGCTCAGGCTGACACTACTGCAGTCTCCCGGCTCAGGCTGACACTACTGCAGTCTCCCGGCTCAGGCTGACACTACTGTAGTCTCCCAGCTCAGGCTGACACTACTGCAGTCTCCCGGCTCAGGCTGACACTACTGCAGTCTCCCGGCTCAGGCTGACACTACTGCAGTCTCCCGGCTCAGGCTGACACTACTGCAGTCTCCCGGCTCAGGCTGACACTACTGCAGTCTCCCGGCTCAGGCTGACACTACTGCAGTCTCCCGGCTCAGGCTGACACTACTGCAGTCTCCCGGCTCAGGCTGACACTACTGTAGTCTCCCGGCTCAGGCTGACACTACTGCAGTCTCCCGGCTCAGGCTGACACTACTGCAGTCTCCCGGCTCAGGCTGACACTACTGTAGTCTCCCGGCTCAGGCTGACACTACTGCAGTCTCCCGGCTCAGGCTGACACTACTGTAGTCTCCCGGCTCAGGCTGACACTACTGCAGTCTCCCGGCTCAGGCTGACACTACTGCAGTCTCCCGGCTCAGGCTGACACTACTGCAGTCTCCCGGCTCAGGCTGACACTACTGCAGTCTCCCGGCTCAGGCTGACACTACTGCAGTCTCCCGGCTCAGGCTGACACTACTGCAGTCTCCCGGCTCAGGCTGACACTACTGCAGTCTCCCGGCTCAGGCTGACACTACTGCAGTCTCCCGGCTCAGGCTGACACTACTGCAGTCTCCCGGCTCAGGCTGGCACTACTGCAGTCTCCCGGCTCAGGCTGGCACTACTGCAGTCTCCCGGCTCAGGCTGACACTACTGCAGTCTCCCGGCTCAGGCTGGCACTACTGCAGTCGCCCGGCTCAGGCTGGCACTACTGCAGTCTCCCGGCTCAGGCTGACACTACTGCAGTCGCCCGGCTCAGGCTGGCACTACTGCAGTCTCCCGGCTCAGGCTGGCACTACTGCAGTCTCCCGGCTCAGGCTGACACTACTGCAGTCTCCCCGGCTCAGGCTGACACTACTGCAGTCTCCCGGCTCAGGCTGACACTACTGCAGTCGCCCGGCTCAGGCTGACACTACTGCAGTCGCCCGGCTCAGGCTGACACTACTGCAGTCGCCCGGCTCAGGCTGACACTACTGCAGTCGCCCGGCTCAGGCTGACACTACTGCAGTCTCCCGGCTCAGGCTGACACTACTGCAGTCTCCCGGCTCAGGCTGACACTACTGCAGTCTCCCGGCTCAGGCTGACACTACTGCAGTCTCCCGGCTCAGGCTGGCACTACTGCAGTCTCCCGGCTCAGGCTGACACTACTGCAGTCTCCCGGCTCAGGCTGACACTACTGCAGTCTCCCGGCTCAGGCTGACACTACTGCAGTCTCCCGGCTCAGGCTGACACTACTGCAGTCTCCCGGCTCAGGCTGACACTACTGCAGTCTCCCGGCTCAGGCTGACACTACTGCAGTCTCCCGGCTCAGGCTGACACTACTGCAGTCTCCCGGCTCAGGCTGACACTACTGCAGTCTCCCGGCTCAGGCTGACACTACTGCAGTCTCCCGCCTCAGGCTGACACTACTGCAGTCTCCCGGCTCAGGCTGACACTACTACAGTCTCCCGGCTCAGGCTGACACTACTGCAGCCTCCCGGCTCAGGTTGACACTACTGCAGTCTCCCGGCTCAGGCTGACACTACTGCAGTCTCCCGGCTCAGGCTGACACTACTGCAGTCTCCCGGCTCAGGCTGACACTACTGCAGTCTCCCGGCTCAGGCTGACACTACTGCAGTCTCCCGGCTCAGGCTGACACTACTGCAGTCTCCCGGCTCAGGCTGACACTACTGCAGTCTCCCGGCTCAGGCTGACACTACTGCAGTCTCCCGGCTCAGGCTGACACTACTGCAGTCTCCCGGCTCAGGCTGACACTACTGCAGTCTCCCAGCTCAGGCTGACACTACTGTAGTCTCCCAGCTCAGGCTGACACTACTGTAGTCTCCCAGCTCAGGCTGACACTACTGTAGTCTCCCAGCTCAGGCTGACACTACTGTAGTCTCCCAGCTCAGGCTGACACTACTGTAGTCTCCCAGCTCAGGCTGACACTACTGTAGTCTCCCAGCTCAGGCTGACACTACTGTAGTCTCCCAGCTCAGGCTGATACTACTGTAGTCTCCCAGCTCAGGCTGACACTACTGCAGTCTCCCAGCTCAGGCTGACACTACTGCAGTCTCTCAGCTCAGGCTGACACTACTACAGTCTCCCAGCTCAGGCTGGCACTACTGTAGTCTCCCAGCTCAGGCTGACACTACTGTAGTCTCCCAGTTCAGGCTGACACTACTGTAGTCTCCCAGCTCAGGCTGACACTACTGCAGTCTCCCGGCTCAGGCTGACACTACTGCAGTCTCCCAGTTAAGGCTGACACTACTGCAGTCTCCCAGCTCAGGCTGACACAATTTGACAGGAATATTGACAGCGAAACAAGTAGTGTTGGTTCCTAGTGTGCAACTACCGCAGAGAATACAGAATTACATGTATCAGCAGCACACTGCTGACCTATATAATTTTGTCAAATAAAGGAGAGAGTATTTAGTAAGTTTTTAAATTCTCAGCGCAAACAATGCTTTTGTCTCGTAAAATTTTTGTAATAAATCACAGATAAAGTACAATGAAGCAATGTAAATACAGGCTAGAGATTTACGAAATGTGTGTGAGGTGCTAGTTGGTGTAGTTGTCCTGCCATGCAGGTTGAGCTGCCATGCAGGGTGTCCTGCCATGCAGGTTGAGCTGCCATGTAGGTTGAGCTACCATGCAGGTTGAGCTGCCATGCAGGTTGAGCTGCCATGCAGGTTGATGCTACCATGCAGGTTGAGCTGCCATGCAGGTTGTCCTGCCATGCAGGTTGAGCTGCCATTAGGTTGAGCTGCCATGCAGGTTGAGCTACCATGCAGGTTGAGCTGCCATGCAGGTTGAGCTGCCATGCAGGTTGAGCTGCCATGCAGGTTGAGCTGCCATGCAGGTTGAGCTGCCATGCAGGTTGAGCTGCCATGCAGGTTGAGCTGCCATGCAGGTTGAGCTGCCATGCAGGTTGAGCTGCCATGTAGGTTGAGCTGCCATGCAGGTTGAGCTGCCATGTAGGTTGAGCTGCCAT